TTGTTCGTTTGTACTTAAGATGCCTTATGATGAACAACTAATGATCAAACAATGAATCGTGTTTCAGGCATTCCCTTTAGGGTGTTCTTCCTCTTTGCAAATGCTTTGGTGAACAGTGGTAGGTAGTATATTTGAATATGTAACATAGTATCCTTAGGGAATTTAGCATTTTCCATGTATTAGGATCAAGAGGTTTAGATTAAGGATCAGAGTATAGAGGTTCAGAACTAGAAAAACAAGTACTTTTTTGTATTACGTTTCACACGTTTTTTTTTATCTTGGCCAAACATTAATGAAAATTTGGGGGGCTCATGAATCCTAGAACCACCGTTGTTTTGGGTGATTTTTACAGCAACATGTCAACATCCCAATGCTATCAAGGAACAAAGGTACTGGTTATAGAATGCCAGGATGTCAGTAAAATATCCATTTTAACTATGTGCGTGTGTCTTTGTGCTATCGAGAGAGAGAGAGAGAAAAGGGAAAAATAGATCAACGTGCCTGTCAAGAAATAACCCTTTTCAATGAGTTTGTGTGTGTGTGGAAGGGTGTCATGCAGTGTGTTCTACCTAGGAAACTTCCCCTTTACGCAAGTTTTTATCAAGTGTTCCGAACAAGATGTATTTCTTGTTGTTGTCTTTAAATTTATTGCTGATGTACGCACACTGGTTTCACGTGTTTTTCCATTTGATCAATGTAGAATTCATTATTTCAGGTCTTTGACTCGCTTTTTTTCTGTTATTTCAGGCCAATGCCAGGATCAAAACATTACACTGCGTCAGCTTCCAATAGTCAATGTTTCTGAGGGCGATTCTTTCATCTTGTGGTGCAATGTAACCAGCACTTTGTCAACATCCCAAGGATACCAAGTATTATGGAACAAAGGCACGGGTACTGATAACCAGTGGTGCTCAGGGATTTCTACCGGAAATGAACAACCAAGAATATTGGCCTGTGACGGACCAAATGCATATTTCAATGTTTCTGATGACTATGCCTTCAGCCTTACTATTCCATCGGCGCAAATGGAGGACATGGCGGTATACAAATGTGCATTTGGTTTATTAGGTGGACAGATATTCAAGTCTTCGGGATTAACAGAAGTGTTTGTTGTGAGTGAGTATAGGTAGCTTTTTGCACGTAAACATTTGAATAGTCTAGCCGACATAATTGGGGACCTCCTGTATTTATGGTAGCATTCATTTTTTTATTTGCGTTAAAAAGCTGGATACCTTTAAAGAAAGGTATATACTTTTTTGCATTAACCAATAAACTTTCGTCTTTATGTTTTGAATACGAAGACTGAGAATTAATTTCATCCAATTGTTAAGCAATCCTTAACAGTTTTTGTGATAATGCTAAATAGGTATTTTGTTTTCCTAATCGTATGTTGTAATGAAGAAATCTAAATAATGAAAATAAAATAGTCATGAAATAAATTCATATCTTCTATGCAGAGCATATGCCTAGTGTAGGTGAATGCTCTGCATGTGTAGTAGAACATTCACCTACACTAGTCATTACAGAAACGTCCGGTAAATATGATTTAAAACCGAATATAATCATAATTTGGTAATTTGGTGAATGACAAGGGTTTAGTAAAAATGATATTTTCTTGGAAATTATGAGTTCAGTAACAGTGCTATGAATCAAATTTCTTTTAGAGCGCCCGCCTTCAACTGCTGCCACTACTAAAGTATTGCAGAGTAAGTATATCATGCCCTAACATATCACCAATTAATACATTGTTGTTAGAAAAGGCATCAGAAAAACTAAATCATTAAATCAGAGAGAATTCAATTGACACTTGACAAGGGAAAACGCCATGACAGAGCATGGGAGCCATTTTTATCACGAAGAAATAAAGGTTTATTCACAATGAGATTAACTCTAATTCTAGCTACATCGAAGGGTTCAAGTGAAAAAGGAATAAAGTCTCCGAGTACCGTGGGTTTGTCCAAGAAAACGATCATCGCTATTGGTGCCGGGGGAGGAGGAGGAGTAGTGCTGCTGGTTAGTATCATTATCGCCGTGGTCTGTGTGAAAAAGAAAGGCAAAAGGAATTCAACTTCAGGTCTGTGCTTACTTCTTAAATAATGTACATGTATAAAATATAATATATTTGATGAGCCTGAACGGATACTATTTTTATAAAAATGATATTATGTCAATATTTAAATATATTCTTTTTACGTTTTCAGAAAGGGAAATGTAACATTTTACTAATGTACTCCAGTTGTATTTATGCCGAGTAATACAAATACGCATGTCTTGTCTTTTATATACACCTAAATATAACTTGTTCTTGTTTAATGTTAAATAATATACACGGTTATAGCAATGGTCCAATACTTTTGACCTCTTTATAAAGTGTCAAAATGTTATTTGTTACATGAAATTCCACTGACAATTTTATGGACTCCACGGACATAATTACCCTCTTTTATTTATTAGATATCGACGAGAGAAGATACTGTTATAAGAAGAGCAACGTAAGTAGACCCATCACTCTCACATTCATGAAGACGTAATTAAACAAATACGTGTGTTTGGTCATGTATTATGGAAGCCAAGAGTTGAATCTGGCGTTTTTGTATAAAAGCAACCATTGCTGAAACTGCTATATACTATTTAAATATGATTACATTGCAGCAACATGAATATAGTGGGCTCCCTTCGGAGGTGTTCATTGATAGCATTGATGACATAAGCCTCATCCAATCTATTGGACAGGGGCATTTTGGCAAAGTCTGGAAGGCGGAAGATGAAAGGCCTGATGCGGTTACCAGGATATTAGCTGTTAAAGTTTTGAAAGGTTATTGACAACATCTATATATTCAATTAGTAATTTAGGAATTTCTTGACCCGTTTGATACTGCTAACAGGATCTTCTTGATGTTTATTACCTCCGCCAAGGAGGTTATGTTTTCACCCCTGTTTGTCTGTCATCAACATAACTCAAAAAGTTATGGATAGATTTTGATGAAATTTTATGGAATGCCTTGGCGGAGGTTTGCCCTCTCGATGTGCTTTTCTAGTGGTAAATGCATTAGATGTATCTCGATAGCTTAAAACTGACATTTATTATACAATTTTATGTTCATAGTTGAAAGACAAATTGCTTATATTTTCCTTTGTTTGAATTCTAAACACACAATCTATTTTTATGAGACCGTTTGGAATGAGTTACTGGCTTCATCTAGGGGACTCTCACTGAATACAATCAGATTAAATGCCTTACACGCCCCCTCCTGGCGTTGAGTGGAAAATCTGGTGATTATACGAAAACGTTTGAAAAAAAAAGAGGCGTGTACGGCTGTAAATCTGATTGCCATCAGCGAAAGTACCCTTGAAGTTATATCTCTCAATACCCCTGTAGCTAGTACGTATTAACTCATTCCTAATGTCCAATATGATTTAAAGTTTTGTTAGGAACCAGTTAAAGACAAACTTTGTCAACACATTCTTTAACTATAGAAAATGCCGCTGAAGTTGATCAAAAAGACTTCATACAAGAAATGGACACAATGACATCACTGGTGCCACACGAGAACGTAGTGAAGCTGCTGGGATATTCTAAATCAGGTTAATTCAGATCAGATGACCAATTTTCGTTTGCCATAAACTTAAACTTTATCTCGATACTTGCAGATACTTCTCGATGCCAATCTACGAACTTTGACGTCACTGCATGTCTTTCGGGTCTCCTTTGGTCGAGAATAATCTGCATTTCTTTGCTTAGTCTGGGACAAAGGAAAAAAAGAAGAAAAATTGCAAATTTATACCTTTAACTAAGAAACACTCTTGAAAACATTTCTCAACTGAAAGTTTGGGATGTTTGATTATGAATGATGTTTTTGCGTCAACATCAAGTACTTGTATTTTTGCTGTTCTATAGAACTTAATCAGAAATATATACAACAAACGTCTGTGATACTGTATTCGTTTAAAACACTTAAAATATTGTTTGTTTAAGAAAATGCTTTATTTGGTGAGATTGCGATTGATGAAAATGTACTTACAAACATTAAAAACCTCATGTTCCACAGTTCCAGTTTTCATTGCCCTTGAGTTTATGGCTAACGGGAGTCTGAAGACATTCTTACGTAGTAGTCGCAGTGAGAATATCTACGGGAACCTGCATGGAGGAAGCAGTAGACTTACGTCCAGAGATCTCCTCACTTTTGCTGAACATGTGGCCAAGGGAATGTCACACGTGGCGAAGTATGGGGTAGGTAAGAGCCATGCAGATCTTTGTCTTTAAGGTACACAGCAAATATTTATATCATTTTGTTCAATGACACATAACAAAAAAAGCAGATTTGACATCATGGCACCACATACAATGTGCTCATTTTAGATAAAGTATCAGTGTGTTGTTATGGGTTTAAAACACTTATGCCATAAAACAGAATCTACAGTATATTATGTTTTAATTCATTAAAGTTCAATTAATTTCTTCCAGTTCCTGCACCGTGATCTTGCAGCTCGCAATGTCCTCGTCAGTGAGTCCCGTGTGTGTAAAGTGGCTGATTTTGGTCTGGCGAGGGATGTAATTGAAAGTCGAGAGTATCTTAGTAGATTGCAGGTGCGTGGAATGTTCACAATTACTCTGTGAACGTATTTTCAGTCACTGTCAACGTCCAGCAAGTGTACTTACATTCTCTTGCAACTTTGTTACATGGTCCTTAATTGTGTACATTCCTGCCAAAACTGGTTGCCAGAAACTCTACTCAGCAAACGTGTTTCACGTAAAAAGCAAGATGTACATAAAGAGGATAAATGAGGTCGTTTAAATTTATTTGAAGCCAATTTTGACAGAGAGAATATCAATGTAGTGTAGTGAATTAAAGCCCCCTCTTCCCGTCCAAGGCTACAAGGCTATTGTTATTTTCATATAAAATATCTTTAATGTTTTATTTAAGGCTATTTTCTTAAGCTTTAAGGTACAAATGTGTGAACTGTAATATATCTACTAGTATCGTATACAATAGGGCCCCCTACCGGTGAGATGGATGGCCCCAGAGTCTCTGTCAGACAGTGTGTACACCACTAAGAGTGACATGTGGGCCTATGGTATACTGCTCTGGGAGATTGTAACACTGGGTAAGTTATATACCACAAAGAGAGACGTGTGGGCCTATGGTATACTGCTCTGGGAGATTGTAACACTAGGTTAGTTATATACCACAAAGAGTGACGTGTGGGCCTATGGTGTATTGCTCTGGGAGGTTGTAACACTAGGTAAGTTATATACCACAAAGAGTGACGTGTGGGCCTATGGTGTATTGCTCTGGGAGTTTGTNAAAATGCTGGCAAACTGCTGGTAAAGCATTTGAACCACATGCACTGAATTTTCGAACCCGGAGCAGCATATTCATCATGGTGTGGGACTGCATCAGCATCCATGGCTTGGGCGAATTGATAGTGGTTAATGGAAACATGAATCACTAGAAATATATCGATGTTTTGGAGTCAGGCTTGCTACCATCTATTACTAACATGTTTGGTGACAGGAATTATTCATTTGTTCACCAGGATGACAATGCTCCTTGTCACAGGCCCAGAGCAGTTGATGATTGGTTTGACCAACAGGACATTCGCAGGGTGATGTGGCCTGCCCAGAGTCCGGATGCAAACATAATAGAAAATGTGTGGAATGATATGTCAGAACTTTTCACAAATGCCCGTCTAACCAGCAGAGAAACTCTGTTATATTCAGTGTTTCATGCTTGGGCCAGCATAAGCCCTGAACGCATCAGACAATTACATGAAACCTTGCTTCGTAGACTGGCACCTATTATTAGGTCACGTGGCCATGCCACTAAGTACTAATTTTGGACTTGAAACTGCATATTTTGGTAGAATGTATATTTTGTTCTCATTTTGTGATTTTTTGTGAAATTTGATGTTAATAAATGATACCAGGAACATATCATTCCACAGTCATTTATCTCCCCCATAGTATTGGCTCAGTAGGGGTGACACTTCTTTTGTCCAGTGTGTGTATGTACGCACACTATTGTATACACCAGGGCCCCCTACCGGTGAGATGGATGGCCCCAGAGTCTCTATCAGACAGTGTGTACATCACAAAGAGTGACGTGTGGGCTTATGGTATACTTCTCTGGGAGATTGTAACACTAGGTAAGTTATATACCACAAAGAGTGACGTGTGGGCCTATGGTATACTGCTCTATGAGATTGTAACACTGGGTAAGTTATATACCACAAAGAGTGACGTGTAGGCCTATGGTATACTGCTCTGGGAGATTGTAACACTAGGTAAGTTATATACCACAAAGAGTGATGTGTGGGCCTATGGTATACTGCTCTGGGAGATTGTAACACTAGGTAAGTTATACACCACAAAGAGTGACGTGTGTGCCTATGGTATACTGCTCTATGAGATTGTAACACTAGGTAAGTTATACACTACAAAGAGTGACGTGTGGGCCTATGGTATACTGCTCTGGGAGATTGTAACACTGGGTAAGTTACACGTGCTGTTCACTAGTTGTGAACTTATAACTTCACAGTGTCGTTGTCGAGCGCTCTCTTGGACAACACTCCAGCAATATCTACATATCTACATTTAGAACTCCATTAAGTCCCTTTAGAAAAAAAAGCATGTCAAGAAAACTACATGACTGGATGTGACTTATAATTATTTTGCAATATTTTTTTTGTTCAAGAACATTGTTTCAGAAAAACAATTTACTTTCATGAAAATGCACATGGTACCGCCTATGTACAACAAAGAATGATAGATGAAACTGTTATGAATGGATTTCTTCCCTATTTAGGAGCAACTCCTTACCCTACCATGGTGTCAGCGAGAGATTTACTGAAAGAAATTGACCAAGGTTACAGAATGGAGAAACCAAAACACTGTACTCCGGAATTGTAAGGTTTTACTTACATTGTATATAATTCATCGATGTACTTCAGTTTTCATAGCTAGCAAAAATCCTTTCGATCTTTATTAGTCATTAATGACAATAAATTTCTCTGCAATGACAATTATTTTCATTCAAAAAAGTCTTTTTAAAATCGATGAAAAACATTTTACGCTGCCTTAACGTGTACCATTAGTAGTCATGACATGATGTAATTGCCGCTTTTGTATTTTGCCTGTATATACAAATGGTGTGCAACCCATGCAAAGCAACATACTAGTACTAAATATACTGACATACTGTAAAGTAAAATATATACTTACCTAATCTGCAGTATAAATGTATTATTTACTTGTGTGTGTAGATTTTGTTGATTTGAAATGACTACCACGGGGATATTTCGTGAACAAGGACTCATTTGCCAAGAGCGAAGACTCTGCATGCCGTTAGTTGTAATTGAAATTTCAATGAACTTTTATTGGATAACTTACAAATTGTGTGAAATGAGGTTTGGGACGTTTTATAACTACCTAATATACAGTAAATTATTAATATTAAAGACGTGTTCTAATTACAGATACCAGCTTATGACGTGGTGTTGGAAACAAGACCCCGGATGTCGTCCAACATTTGAGGAGTTGGTTTTCCATTTGGAGAAATTACTGAAAGAAGAAATGACCACCCATGTCGATCTCAACCAGTACTCAGAGAGCGCCTATGGCAACGTTGAAAATAAGATAAAAGGAGAGAAACTGTGAAGTGGATGAATTTGTTTTTGTTTTCTAAAGAATCGAGATTTCATATGAATTTATATGTAAGTTAAAGATGTGGAGGTCGAGAATTGTCTTTTTTTCTTATAAACGTTTAGTTGTTTTTTGTGTGCTGAATCATGTTCACTGAATGGAGTGCCACTGTTGCTGCTCATTGTGTGGATATGAAATGGCTGCGTGAATCTAATGCAGAATTGTTCAGGCGTAAATTTCTTCAAAATCACATAAATCTGTAATCACAGGATATGTGGGTACAGATAAATATGCTCGCTCTTTGACGCAGTGCTAACTGACATTGACTTATTAGAAAGTGAAAGGAAGGAGAAGAATGTCTGTTTTCATACTGTGTTTAGTATTTGCATATTAACCAAGTGGTATGTTTCATACCTTCGATTTATATTCACATTCACAAGAATATATATGACATATAAATTGCATAGTTGAAGATTATTTGGAAGACATATCAGTGACTTTAGTGATCTTAATAAAATTACAAGTATACAATTCTCACTCACATATTTAGTTTGCACACAGAAGAAGTAAGGGATTTGTTTTATATGTAATTGCAATAACTACATGTAGGCTATATTGATAGGATGCAATTGTTCTTTTTAGTCCAGGCAAGTGTGCTGAAACTAGATTTATGACATAAGCATTTATGATAGGGATAAGCATGATTCATTTCTTGCTATAAACCGATCATTTTCGTTAAGATCCCAGTAAATTCAGTTTCAGTGTGGTAAAATGAGGATGCGTTTTGTGGCTTTTGGTTTTTGAATTAATATTGTACATATCTTTTAATGAAATAAAATGGAATAAAAGAAAATCAAAACAACATTCTTTGAGTTACTGTTATTATTATATCACATACCGATTTAAGGAATAATTAGAAAAAAAAACTATTTACAATAGGTCCTTAAACACTTTTCAAATTAATTTTTCTAAACTAAAAAGATAAATGTCTTGTATATAATTTAGATATCCATGAAAAACAATACCAAGCACATATTTATCTCATCATTTTGGCCCTTATTTTTAGCAAGGGGTCAATAGGTGCATCTTTGAGACGAGTCTGTATACAGGGTATCAGGAGGAATATTCTGATACAATTCAACATCTCACGTCTTTCGACTTGTTCGTCATACAATCACTGTAACCCCAAGTGACCTTAGATGATCTCGTGACCTCTGTGTGACAGATACAATGTGGAACACCTGTTATCAACGCGTTGCTAGGTTAGTTGCTATGGTTAATATCTTGTTGAAGTTGGTAAATACAGCAACATTTAATATATGTAGATAAACATATGCTAGCAGTGTACCACCTCAGCTTGTGCCTAATGTTAAGCGTCAGTAATAATTTATATGGTTTCACAGATAATACCCAACATGTATTGCTACATTAGTAAATCAGCAAACGGGAACTGAAATCTTGAAAATGTGTCTCGGGCGGAGAGCTTTGCAACATCTTTTTTGCTGTTTTCAATATAATGTTAACATTAATTGTCAAAACAAAAATAAATAATAAAGTGAAAAATATAGGGAATTAATGAAATAATTTACCCAAAATTGTGTAAAACCGGCATTGAGTTCTGCTAAGAAATATCGAGTGCGTTTACTTAGTTTGTATGCATTTCCTGTGTCTAAAAGACATCGGAAGAAATATAATCATTTTATCTACATTCCCTACATATGCATGAAAAATTTGTAAGGAAACACCGCCCGCACCATCTCCAAAATATAGAAACCAGAGTAAACATTTAGCGTTTTTTTATAAGATGAAATATGACCAACATAAAAAATCGGAATGTCTAGTAAAAACTAGAAATGATATATCACTTTTCTAGGAGGCCATCACAACTGCGTACTCTACTCATGGGGCTTACGGTTAACGTTGTGAACTTAGCTGATCCTATTCCCTGGGCGACTTGGGGTTATCATGTAGTGTCAAATCGGCATAGTGGAAGTTCTCTGCGTTCTTGTCAAGGGGCTGGAATGACCAAGAGATGTAAAATGTACATATTTTAAAGTAGTTTCAGCAAAGGGTGCTATATACCGTGT